ACACCCCTCACGCCCCATCGGCTTGCTGGTGTCCTCCATATCACCCAATTCCATTCTCGTATTTTAGGCACATTTGCAAGCCAAGGAAGGTGTGGTTCCTAAGAGAGACTTTAAATCACAAATATTTATGTTCCTGTTTTTTCTGCCTACAGAGCTGTGACCACCTGAGCAGCAGGGGCTCTGAGATGATACTTTAAAAACTAGCTGGCCGGTGCTGAGGAGGGCAGAGCCCTGTGAGGTCACCACTGACAGAGCTGGGGACAAATGCATCTTAGGAAAGCAGAGAAGCCAGGCCAGGTCAGTCCTGGGAGCCACTGTCCCACGAGGCAGGGATAACGTTCTTCCAGAAAACAAGTCCAGTTCTGGGACAAATTTGAAGCTGCAAATTCTACACTATAGACAGAACTGTGATCATTTTATTCTGAATAACTTAGTGGGTGTCACCATGAGCTTAAAAACATTTCACCAAATATGCACGCGCTGTCTTAGGATTTGAGCGATGTCATTTCTTGGAAGGTTTTCTGAGATAAACTTCACCTGTAGGTAGCCAGAAGCTTACTTGCTGTGGTGAGTTGTTAGGTAAAGCCAATGATATGTCAGGGCCCAGCTGCCAGACAGGAGCACCTTGCTTTTGGAGTGTTGGATCCCATGCCACTTTTTGAGACAGTAATTAGTAGCAGGAAACTGTCACCAGCCGACTGGTAATCCCCCCACCTACAAACACAAGTAATCCAGGCATCCTGTGCATCCTTGCTTATCACGGCCAGAAAGTACTTTTCATCTCCATTTCATAACTTGATTGCTCTGTGCCTCCCCAAACACAGCGTAAGCTTCTTGAGGCCAGAGATTTTGACTGTCATTCTCATTGTGATCTACTCAGCAACTGGAACAGTGCCGGCACGTAGAAGACACATCGTGCATTTGCTGCATGAATAAACACGTGAACATGATAGCATAGAAGAATGCTACTTTGATGGGGTACACGGGTATCAAGGATTTTCTTTCTGCTCACACAACATGAGATTTGTAATTAAGATACAGATTTAAGACAGGTGTGGTGGCTCACACCTGTAATCCCAGCACTTTGGGAGACTAAGGCAGGAGGATCACTTGAAGTCAGGAGTTTGAGAGCAGCCTGGCCAACATGGTGAAACTCCGTCTCTACTAAAAATACAAAAATTAGATGGGCACAGTGGCACATGTCTGTAATTCCAGCTCCTCGGGAGGCTGAGAATTGCTTAAACCTGGGAGGCAGAGGTTCCAGCGGGCCAAGATCACGCTACTGCACTCCAGTCTGGGCGACAGAGAAAGACTCCGTCTCACCAAAAAAAAAAAGACACAAATTTAAAATCATGATGACCAGAATATGGCTCCGTTTCACTCACTGGAAATTATCTGATCTGTAAGATCATTTTTACCAACCCGTGAGTGTTTTTTACAGGCGTGGGAGTCCACTGACTCTCTAAAATCACTTGCAAAGTTTTGTTGCAGTGGAGCTGAGAGCTGGGGCCGGCCTGCCTGTTGTGCGCCTCCACGAGACTCCTGGCCACGCATTTGAGCACACCCCACGAAGGGGGCAGATGTCTGGCTGGGCTGTTATGTGTATCAAGCATGTGTTCTAAATTACAGTTCATTTGTTCTAAATTACATTCATCATTTCTAAATTTGTTCTACATTTAGAACACAGCCCCAGGAGACCCCTTTCGCCCAACCATGGTCTGCAGTCTTGATTCATGTTCTTATTTGAAAAATGCTATTGATAACCTTTTGCTATTTCTGCCTCAGTCTCTTAGGAAATGTATAAAACAGAAAATCACATGTCTTCAAAGCTCTGGGGCCTTACATGATGAAGACAAGCAATGATTTCTCATTTCATCCTTTCTCTTAATCAACTGAATTAATTATATACTCATTTTCATTTGAATGTGATGACTAGGCAGACTTCAAGTATAACCATTGCCTAATGCCATGACGTTTGGATTTTTTTTCAAAGAGAGGAAAAAAACTCCCTTGGCGTCTATTACAGCATCCATATTTTGTGCCATTTTAATTTTTTCTCGTGTCTTTTTTCTCTCTCTTTGGGCAATGTCAGTATCATTTGTTTCTGGTAAATTTTAAATCACCACTTAATTTCCAGTAGAAAAAAAAGAAGGTTTAGTTACACCTAAAATAATCCTGAACGTCAGACACACGGTGGGCACACCAGAAAGTCAACATTACATGAATAAAACAGATTAGCCCAGAATACCTCCCATTCATTTTCCCAGGTTCCTAATTTAATAATTGCAGTGACTTTAATTTATCCAGACCCTCAGCCTGAACTCGGCATGGGCAGGGTAGACAGCCAAACCTGAAAATTCAAGTTAAAATTCTCATTTGGGAGCTTATATTGTCTAGATTAATCATCCACAAGGGTCAAGTCAGCCAAGTAATTCTGGTTCAGCTTAATCTCTGTGGAGGCAGAATTAGTCTTTTACAGTCAAGGTCCTTGCTCCAGCCCCATATATTTCTGGTTTTTTTGTTTGTTTGTTTTTTTAGACAGAGTCTCACTCTATTGCCCAGGCTGGAATGCAGTGGCACAATCTCGGCTCACTGCAACTTCCATCTCCTGGGTTCAAACGATTTTCCTGCTTTAGCCTCCTGAGTAACTGGGTTTACAGACACATGCCACCACGACTGGCTCATTTCTGTATTTTTAGTAGGGACAGAGTTTCACCATGTTGGCCAGGCTGGTCCTGAACTCCTGACCTCAAGTGATCCACCCGCCTCGGCCTCCCAAAGTGCTGGGATTACAGGTGTGAGCCACCGTGCCCAGACTGTTTCTTTCTTAAGCTCTTACTTTCTCACGTGTGAGTTACCTTGTAGGTTTCCAAGACAGAGGGGGCAAGATGGAAAAGGAGAACACAGAAATCTAGCCTGGAGGAGCTGCTCTGTTCCTGTATTTATCTGTGTAGGTGTGAATGAGGGAGAAAATGACAAGAGAATTACATTATTTTAAGGCTGGTTCCCCCCCCCCAAGATCATTTACTTTTTGAGAAATAATTGCCCAATACTGAAAGGTATGTCCTTCCAAAATGTTTGTGTTTCAAATGGCTTCCTAATTACCTAGTTTACGGGGGGTGTGTATGGTTATCTGAAGTTACATGGGTATACACTGGTGGTGTGAGGTGTCCAGGGAAAGGAAGAGCAGTCCTGGTGGCTCAAACCCTGAGGGATGTGCGGGGGATGGGTGAGAATGTGAACAGACATGTTGGAAGCTGAATCCGTGCAGTGGCACCCACGCCTGTAGCCATCTCAGTGGGGGGTCCTTCTACGAACAAGCTTTGATTAATGATATTTTAATGCTAGTTTAGGTTTTTAGCACTCCCATGCCTAAAGGCTCTGATAGAAGCAAGACCCCCACCCCTGCCAAAAAAAAAAAAAAGCAATGATTTTTATGCCTTCCAACAGATCTCTTAAGGGGCAGACGTCCAGAGAGCCAGGTGTGCCAGGGACCTATGGCAGCAGGGCTGAACGTGCCCGCTCCAGTCTCTCCAGTGCTGGGACAGACCTCTAGATGGTGCAGGTGAGTTTGCAATGAGGGAAAGCCCCTCGCAAGGACTGCGTTTCCAAACTTGCAGACAGGACAGGGAGCAGTAAAGGAAGAGTTCCCGGGAAGCCCTTTAAATTGAAAGGAAAAGAAGCAGGGCTGGTGGCAGAGAGGTGTGCCAGGTCCCAGGCAGCCCTACTGGCCCCTAAGGACATAGAGTACCTGCTTCTGAGAGGGCTGCCAGGGTGGCCACCGGTGAAGCCTGTCACCCAGAACTGGATGTACCTGGCTTTCTTCATAGACCCATCTTCTGCTGGGACTGAAGCTGACCCACAACAGAAGCCGGGTAAGCTTTGGTCCTTTCCTCTGGTTTTCTAAACTCTTCAGCTGTGGCCGAGACGGAGGTGTCATGGGCTGGGAGAGAGCCTGGGTGCATTTTTGAAATGCATATCATTTTTGGGTTGCGTTTGAACAAGCTTTACCGATTGCAGTATGTCTGCGCTACCAGTTATAAGACCTGAGATTGTTCCTTTGTTTTCAGGAAAACATCAGAAACCCCATTTTGCTGTTGGTTGGACATTTGGTTAGGGAGCCAAATTCTGTGTGCGCTTCACAG